CTTCTTTATCCATTCATCTGTCGATGGACATCTTGGCTCTTTCCATAGTTTGGCTATTGTGGACATAGCTGCTATAAACATTGGGGTGCACGTACCCCTTTGGATCCCTACATTTGTATCTTTGGGGTAAATACCCAGGATTTGTAGCCTTTTGTGGTTGGCTTCTTTGAGATTCCTCCATTTTGTTGTATATCAGTGGGTTATTCCTTTTTATTTCTGAGTAGTATTTCCATCTATATTTTCAAATGTTCAAAAAAGTACATTTGTTGGATTGTCTCTATGTATATGTAATGAATAGTAATCCATCAACTTTGGATGATCTTACTGCACTTTGCAGCAAGTGGGAGGTAGTTGGTTCTGCTAGTATATTCCACATGTGACCATGGATGTTCCTGTGTCAGAACAGTTAGCATCCAACTGGACTACAGGTTTGGGGAGATTTCACAAATGGCTGTACTGGCTAGAACTCCAGTAGCAGCTACGTGTGAACATGACATCAGGATTTTATTTTTTTCTTCAAAAGGCATACTAGCTTATTTGATATTCTTGCAGTTTGCATTTTCTCTTTGGGTGCTGGGTGGGGATCTTAACTTTTATGGGCTATCTGGACAAATACTGAGTAAGGACACAGCTCTTAAGCCTTAAGAGAGATGGCTACTACCCATCTCATAAGTACCTAGTGGTTTCTAGGCCGATCATTTGGAAAGATAAATGTATTTTATGCTGATACAATGAGCAGAAGATGAAGAACATATTTTAGTCTGTATATTTTATTCTAATATGCTATCATCTGCTTTTTTGTCTTGCTAAGGCCAAGAAAAGAAGCACAATTCATTAGTTAGATGTACTTGGGAGAATCACATTTATAATGACATGGTATAATAGAAGTGTTTTAAATGATTTTTTATTTTATTTTGTAGAAATAGTCAGATGCTTGATGAAGATAATATACTGAATGAAACACCAAAATCTTTCTCAGTTCACTCGCCTGATGAGACAACTGGTGCCCCACAACTGGAAAGAAGCACAGAAATACCTAAGACCCAAACTACTTCTGCAAATAATGAGGTCAGAAATTCAAGATCTCATCCATTTGTAACATATTCCTTATTTCAAGGAGAGAAAAGACAACTGAAATTGGCCATATCATGACAATATTACTGGCATTGCTGTTTTTAGGTTAAGCTGTCCAGACTATCACACTAGTCCACCATGTCAACTAATAGAGATAATGAATTTCCTTCCTTGAGAAATATGAATAATTCAGTCCACACTTGCAGATAGGTTTTTTTTTTAAATGGTAGTTCCCTGCAAAGTAAGTAATTTTACAGTTTCATTAAGACTGCATGATTATTTTTAGTAATTAATATATAGATGCCTTTTTAGTGTTTCCTAGGTGAATGTAGAGACCTCAGTAAGCAACAGTCAAACCCTGCACAGAGGAGAAGAATCCTTCCAGCATGGATGTTAACAGAAAATCTCAGTTATCAAAAACTTTCAGCACCAGTCAGCAGCGGGGGTAGGTTTTGTTTCGAAAACATTAAGCAGAATTTAGAAGTTTTTCTGAACAAATGGAGACAGACTAGTGGTTGTGTAAGTGTATCACTTAGCCTAACATTTTTTTTAGATGTGTACATGAAGTCTAACCTAAAAATTACGCTATTATGTTATGTCATTTATCATACACCATCCTGCTAATTACCTTTTGATTTATGTGCTGGACTTATATTAACGTAGATTTTTCAAACATACCTGTTGGTGTCATGTCAGTGATAACAGGTCAGCAAAGTAAGAGCTTTCTAAATTAATTTAATTAAATAAAAAACTGCCAGGCACACACTATTATGTGCTGGAGGATTCAGGAGGACCTCTGTCCCAGCACAGCTCACTGTCAAGGCAGATAGCACAGTGATTTATGCCAGCTGTTGGGCATTCCCATTGATTCGAGATTATAAAAACGTTTACTGCCTTGTCTTAGTCTTTTATTTGCAACTTTGTAGCCATCTTGGGTTTACTTTCTATTGACTGCTTGTTTTCTTTTATAGGGGTCACATTTTCCTGTTTGTTCTCAAGTTTAATAACTTTCAATGGGATATTGGATATTATGAAGGATATAGAGATTTTTTATTTTATGTTCCTCTGAATAAATATTTTTGTTTTAATAGTGATTAATTTGGCCTAATAGGCAATCTTCTTCTAATATGCAACTAATTCAGACCCTGACCTCTATTTCCCCTGTTGTGGTCAGCAGCCACAGCCTCTGCTTAGTTCTAGCAGCTTCTAGCTGCTGCTTGTCCTTGCACGTGTGGCTCAGCAGCCAGTGAAGGACTTGGGTCAGTTTTATATGTAAATTTTAGTTCATGGCCCTCTGAGGCTTCCTTCCTCCCAGTATTTTATCCCTAACTTTCTACTTGCTCTACCAAGCCTTAAAGTCTGTCCTCTGACCAGTTAAACCAATAAGGCTGCTTTCTGCCACCTGTGGATTGGGAGATGCCCTGGGTTGGTTGGGGGTGGGGAGCCACAAATTCACAAACTTCACAGGTTATACTTAATTTTTTTGGTTCTGCCTTTTTCATCACTCTGCAGTGCCTTCAAACAGTTGTTTTTTTTTTTTACTATTTTGCCAAAATTTATACTAGTTTTATTTGGGATGATTAATTCAGTCACACTACTCTGCCATTTTACCCCAAGCACAATTGAATATGTACTGTAGTTGAATGTTACTGCTCTCACTGCTTCTTATACTCAGCATAGTGGTCATAGAAGCAGTCTCAAGATTTTGATCCCATATGTTATATACAAAATATTCCTTATTTAATTCTAGTTTGGAATTTAGTAGGATCAGACTGACCTCTTGGGAAAAGTAGGTTATATATTATATATTGTGAAAGATGTAATCTGGAGAATTTTCATACATAAACCCAAGATTTCCTGGTAAGAGTTTTATTCCAGTACAGTAGTTTTCAAACCTCCACCACCCATCATTACATGTGTAACATTTTTATCAGTAACATTTCTCATTAAGCGCGGTAATTCCTCACTTTGCCAGAAGGAAATGGGGAGTGATGAATGGTCGTGGAGAGGCGGCGGGCACTTTCTCTCAGTAGACCAGTTTCTCTAATATAGAAAGAATAACTTCAATTGACCAAAAATTGGACCAATGTCAACTGCCTCCCTGCAAGCAAGTCCTTTTCTTTCAGAGTTGTTCTGCGTGGTAGCTGCTTCTGTGCTACCACTATTAGATTGCTTATAATACTCCAAAATACATTTTGCTTCAAATTAAAAATAACTATTAACTTTTACTAGCCAGATGTACCATGTAAAATATGAAGCACCTTTTTGAGTACTTCACCTTAAAAATGCAAAGGATAACAATTTGCCATTGATTTGGACAAGAATATTATATAATATCTGATGTACTTAAAATGCTAAAACTTCAAAATAAGGTAGAAAAGTCTTTGGATTCTGGCATGTCTTCTTTCTTATAAGCAGACTTTGGGGGTACTTGTAAGAGCAAACTTAGGTTACATGATTCCTTTAGAGACAGAAAGAGTTAGAAATACACATAGGACAGTTCAGCACTTGAATCCAGCTAATTAAAAATCAAAATAATTTGACTTTTTCTGCCATGTACTTTATTATTATTATTGTTGTTGTTGTTGTTTTATTTGTTTAAGTAATAAATCATCCAGGTCAATAGACCAATATTAGAGATTTTTAAAAATCAATTTCTAGGATGCATTTTGGACTCATTTAGAAGTAGGTTGCTTTCTTACGTCTTTTGCAGCTTTAGTACTATACTTTGTTCATTGATATCTATTTAGATTATCTGATTAACTTGATATTTTAGAACCCTTGTGTCATTAGGTACAGAACAGATAACGTGAACTGATGTTAAATGACTTATCTAGGATCATGTAATAAAGGCCAGAGCCGTAACTGAGACCTAGATCTGTCTGACTTTAAAGCCCATGCTCTGAGCTGTGACACTATACAGCCACCTAAATTTACCCTTTCTATGTTGTGGTGTTTTTATTCTTTTCTGTTTTAATATGCCCTTGCATTCTCTCCTAGATCTTTTTTCTCGTTTAACTCTTGGTTTAATCCTTACATGTATCTGAATATTTGCTGTGATCAGGCTGTCCTTTTTGTTTTTCAGCCATTACAGTTCTAGTTTATTTTCTGGGTCCCCAGATATTAGCCCTTGGATGTTATCATGAGTTTCTCAGTCCTGGGCTAAAATTTTCTCCATGTCCCTTAGTGATTCGCAAGTGAATATATTTGGGCATGGGCTTTCAGATCTTCTCTTCTCTTGGCTTCCAGTCATCTCTGTTCCCTTAGCCATCTAGGCTCTAGGACAAGTTATAATTCCTGGGCTATGACACTCATGTTAGATTGCAAAAGGAGCTTTTAAATTTTTAAATCATGCTACTCTGTAGTACGCTTCTTCTCCCATCTTCTAACCCTCCAACATGGAGTCATGAAAAGTGGCACATGCTGAAAAAGGTTGAAGTAGTCCCCAAATCATCGTTTGCATTTAATTTTGTACTGAATATTCTCCACATGACCACTCAACGCAGATGATAAGTGCTGAACTGACATTCTATTAATTTGACTCTAGCTTAAATTTTACTTAAAGTGCTGGTTATTCTGTTTACTTTATTTCCAGCAGCCCTGCTAAATTATCTAATTAATTCTCATAGTTTTTAAGTCTCTCAGATTATCTAGCTGTACAGTCATATCTACAAAATTATAATAATTTTGGCTCTTCTGTTCTATCTACTGCCTTTAAAAAATTTTATTTCATGAACTAGACCGTACAAATTTTAAATAAAAATGGATAAAATTGGTAGCTCTATCTTCTTCCCAATTTTAATAGGGATTCTATTAGTATTTCAGCATTAACATGATTGGTATTCAGTTCTGATTCTCTTATCATGTTTAGGATGTTTTCTTTTTTCTTTTTCTTATTTTTCCTTCAGGAATAACTATTGAATTCTTTGACAAATTTTTTGGTATAGATATAGTCCTGCAAAGGGGTAGATGGGGGTTGGAAGCAGGGGAGGGCATAGGGAAGCAGTGGGGTGGGGCGCTGGGCTAGAAAAGAAAAAAGGAAAAAGAGAAATAGTCCTGCATTTTCATCTGTCAGTGTAATTAGTGATGTTGGTAGATTTCCTAATGTACCACGCTTAGGTTCCTGGAATAAGTCAATTCGTCATGATGGCTTATTATTTTTAAGCTCTGTTAGATCCAAGTTGCTGATACTTAGTTTAAAACATTTGTGTCTGTATTCGTAAGTGCATAGTGTTTTCCTCCATGTGTGCCATCTATGTCAGATTTTAGCATTGAGCTATGTGGGTGTTGTATTCAATGAACTAGGAGATTTTTCCATATATGCTCAAGGACAGTTTGAATCATAGGAATACCTGTTCCTTTAGAGAATCTTTTTATATTACAATCTGGGCCTGGTTCCTACTTTCAGTAGTTGATAGGTCTAGCATAGGAAAAGGTAAGTTAGACCAGTAAAAAATGAATGAAACACCCAGAAACAGATCAAATTAACACATAGTTAATATATTAAAAATTATCAGTTCAAATTGATAGGGAAAGGAATTTTATTATTTTTATATTATGTTATATTTATTATTATTATAAATGATGTTGGGAAAATTAGCTTTCCATTTGGAAAAAAACAATATTAGAGCACTACCTCATACCATATTCTTAAATTTTTATTGAATTAATAATCTTAATGTAAAAATTAAAACTATTAAGGCATTTGAAGAAAATATGAGAACAATATTTTTATTACTTCTGGGAGGCTTTCTTAAGATGATAGAGAGCCTGGAACCCTCAGGGAAAAATTGACAGGTGCATTTAGGTTAAAAATGAAAAAAAAAAAAAAATTTGTGTGCAGAAGACACTATAAACAAAGCCAGAGGCAAGTAGCAGACTGGCAAACCTACTGGGAGATAATATCTGTCACAATTATAAAACATAGAAGGTTAACAATTGTTTACTTAATAGCAAAAAGGAAGGTAAAACTCAGAAATTTTGGACATAGTATATGACATACTACAGAAGAATAAATACAAATAGGCAATAAATATATGACTACTTTGCCAGTCTTTCTTACATATTTAAATATACAACGCTCTTTGATCTACAAATTCTAATTCTACGTATTTATCCCACGAGAATAATAGCATTTATAGTTTTAGTCCATGTGTGTTTATAATATGTATTTGTAGGTATATTTGGTTAACCTTAGCAAGTTGGGAAGGATACACTTCAAATTGTTAATATAACTGTTAGGGTGGTTCTTTTGGAGGATAAAGTTGGATGGATGTGATTGTAATGACGTGTATAGTGTAGCTGTCTATCATTCATATACTGTTAATGTAATAGCTCATATAAGTAAATGCAACTAGTAATATTAAAAATAAAGTGATTTGTTTTAACAGATCTTCTTTTATATTGCAGTCATTTAACTGTACCTATTCTGGATATAAAAAAATATTTGGTATGCCAGATTTGAAGATTGTTATGAACTAATTAAGCTATATTTTCCCTTTTAAAGAGCATTTTTACAACAGTATCAAAATGGCTTCTTCCTATGCAAAAAGGAATTAGCTCTGGTCCTTAGAAGGAATATTTGTAGTAGAGAACTTGGAATTTTGAAGAATATTTTAAATATAGATTTTTAATTTTATGATTTTTTTTTTTT